GGGGGAGGGGGGTGGTGAAAGGATTAAGGAAAGATAGATAAGAGAATGAAAGCTGGGTCTCGGTGGGACGCTGCTCCCTGATGAGGAGACAGCGCCAGCACCCACAAGCCCTGTCTTTATTTTATAGCAGATGCCACGAGGCAAAGTAGGGGCGTGATCACGTTGTTTACAGCATTCTTGTGAGTTTCAACCTCACTCAACTACATGCACCTGAACTCTAGCACAAGGCACGTGGGGCTACGTGTTTGGACCATAGGTTCAAACTTACTACCACAGCCATTGGCTATAATTGTGCTGGGTGGGCCCTGCCCTCCAGCTGGGACTTGCACATGGCAATGAGAGGATCCTGTCCTTTCATTAGTCCAAGGCTTGAGCCTGGCCAAAACACTGTACCCGCGCCCCATAGTAAAATTGTGAAAATAAGGGGGTCTCAGAAAGGGCTCAGCAGGCCTCGTTTTGAGTCTCACCCTGGTATTCTCAGGGGAGACTCTCTCTGTTGAGAATGAGCTGAGGTACACACCCTATGCAGGACAGCGAGAGAGGCTGAGCACAGAATTACCTGATATGTTTCCTTTACAGACTCTGTAGCTTCAGAAGTCATCAGTGAAAGGTAGGTATCTTATAAGTGTTCAGAATTGTGTATGTGTGTGTGTGAGGGGGGTGGGGGGAGTTATAACCAATATTTTATAGAAGTGTATCAAATGTACACAGTTTTCTATTAAAATTACAGGCAGATTTCTCTCCTGATTATTCAAGTGCATTAGCAAATGTGAAAAAAAAATCTGAACTTGGATCAGATGAGTGGAATCGGGAGTGGAGAACGCATCTGTGCTTTGCCAAGGCCGTATTTCATTACTTTTCAGAATTAGCTGGCAATGTCTCCACAATATTTACTGAAGTGAAAACCAAATGTTTTCATCTGGACAAAAATCAAACTGTGGTATGTTACAACCACAACAGAAATCATCTTAATCCAAAGGCTTGCTTTCGCTAATTTAGGCTGTGGTTTCTATAAAATTGGATTCTTCTCCGTAAATCATGTACACATACACCCTCCTTCCCATTATCTTCCCTCCCCCGACCAGTTCTTTATCTTAACAAGCTAAACATAGCTCAGCTCTATTTTGGAAAGCCCCTAAAGGGATTCCCTGCACACCATCATTTAGCTGGGGAGTCAAATTCTGTAGCTTCACCTCATAAACTCTGGGTTGGCTCACAAAGTTGGCATTTTCATGATTGAGCTTTAGGATACATAAAGAGAATGAGAAGTAATCAGCCCCTACTATCATATTAAACTGAAAAACAAGACTTCAAAATGAACTGGGTGGAACTGGGTAAGGAGAGAGAGACAGTTACTTACTGATTTCATAAGGAGAGGAAAGCTCCATCCATTGAAACTAGAAAGTCACAGAAAAAAGCAGTTGCAATAACTGCCTGAGTTCATTAATCCAGGTTTGTCTGTACCAGCCACTGCTGTAGGCACCAGTGACCCAGACCAGACCAGATGTCTCCATTCACCCTGCCCACTCTACAAACACAGTGCCCTGAAAGGCTGGGGACAGCTGTCACACACGACCTTTACAACTTACAAGGGAAGAAGAATTTCCCAAACTTCAGCCATTTCCATACACCACAATATTACTTGCCATATCCAGATAATCATGGGCTTCTATTTTCTTTAAAGGAATGCCCATTCATGACTCGCATGACTTATCTCCATTGTAACAGAAAATTATTATCACTTGCCATAAAGAAAGGGTAATCATGAAAATCACAACAAAATTTTAAAACGTTCAGCTAAAGTCATTTCTGATATCACCAGGAATACATGCAGCAGGGCTTGGGGAACAGCCCCCCCAGCCAAAGCCAAACACAAAGGGGAGCCCTATTCCTCGTAGAAGAGGGAGCTGCCTGTGCAGTGAGGCCCATCCTGGGTTTGCATTTTCTTTTTCTGTACCTATGTAAAAAAAAAAAAGCCAATCATTGAAAAGGGCTCCACATTTGAGACCCAAAATAGGCTGAGGCATCAGCTCGGCAGTCTCCTGAGACAGTGTACCTGCCTGGACGACAAGCACAACGTCTTCAGCCACAGTAGCTGCGACAGTCTAAAAGCTGGAGGCAACATATGCAAAAGCACCATCGGCAATGCACACACTTCAGTGATATTCCTGGGCCCACACATGGCTTCAGTGACCAAACCTCGTAACTATAAATTCAAACCATCCCTCCCACAGGCAAGAGCAGAGGCAGTCGGCTTCCTATCTGGTTTCCTAAATGGAAGGTAAGCACATTGGTGACGAGAATCTAGAGAGGTGTGGGAATGCAAAATGAATTCAACAGCTAGAATTTCTGGAACTTGGGAATAAGTGTGGAGTAATGCCCCATGAAGAGTTAGAAACCTTCAGCCACATAGGTCTTTTTAAGGAAGAAAGAGGGATGAAGTAATAACCTGCTCAGAGCATGGCCATTGTTTTCCTCCACATTCCTCCTCTCTTCAGGCCCAGTCCTGGGCACTGGCCTAGGCACATGTATACCCCAAGTTATGGCTATCTGATTGATCCCACATTCAGGAAATGCCCAACATCTGGGCACAGCTTCTATCTTCAACAGCCCTAACACCACAGACACAGCAATGAGAAAGAACCACTTTCCCTCCCAACAAGGCCACTCCTGTGCTGACGAGGCAGAAAGCACCAAGACAAAGCATCTTTTAATTAACAGCTGGAATACTGCTCTACTCATCTTTTCCACATTCTTCTCTATACACATTGTTGGCTTAAAACATACACAAACAAATACACATCCCATTAACTACAATGGGGTCTCTGGATCTTTTTTATCTCAAAGGAATGCACAGATCACACCATATAGCAGACACGATGGGTTCAGCTCCCACCACTTCCACCC